TCTCCCAAAGGACAAGCAATACAACCCTCATTCCGGACAGGAACAGGGTCGGTCAAACGTGTCCTCATTCCGGACAGGGTGTCGGTCAAACGTGTCCCGCCATCCAAATATGATCGTGTCATTCCATGGCTTCGAGGCCAATCTGATAGTTCCATGAATTGTGCTCGAGAGGGCTGTGCCGAACAGTCAGCATATGGGGCATACTGCGATACTCGTGATTCAACCACGCTTTGCTATTACATTTGGCTGTAGTATCAACGACGCTTAGGTTGTTGTCATGTATGTCGTCAATCCCCTAGTTGTTCAATTCCACAATGAACAGCGCTTTTGTGGTGATTGTAAGTGCGCTTCTTTCGAAATTATTTCTGGCCGCAAACCTAATCCTAGTTGTAGGTTATGATCTGGTGGCAATGGCTGTGGGGATACTATTAAGCAGACGATGCACCTGGCGGTTCGTCTTAACTGTGTTGCCAGGACCGCTCTGCAATCTTGCCTACTTTGCCAGGACCGCTCTGCAATCCTGCCTATTTTAAATTGGAATCTAGACACATGATTCTCCCAAATTCCACCTTCTACAGGTCATGTGCATCTATGTGAGCTGAAACTGACTTGTTGTGACAGCTCGAAGGTTGCGGGCGGGACAGAGGGAGGAAAAGCGCTGCAATTTCCAGTTGAAATGGTAGCGCCCCAGGTCAATCTTGCCGCGGGCTCGGGCTGCTTATAGTTGCGTTTCACTCGCAATCTGATTCCATGGCAGCATTGTGAGACACCAAATACCGGCGGCGCTGTTATCAGGGGCGGAAGAAGACACAAGCGAAACAGGGTGAGAAAACAGCTCTCTTGATGTTCCGCGCCGTGCAGACCTTCCACAACCACATTACTTACTTGATCTAGTTCAACGTGCCGAGAGTTGCGGTGTCTAACAGGCGGCCTCCGGTGAAGCTTTTCATGTTAGCCGGTCATCCAAGGCGTGCCCAATCCTGCTCTAAGTGAGCTTCCTGTGTCCTAGACAGCTCAACAAAACTACCATCTCCGCATATCTGCCGTCGGCTGAGTTGCGTACTATGACTCATCAAAAACACATGGGTAACTTCCAGGCCAGCGATAACGAAGTAGAGGTACCAGGGTTCGAGCCGCATCCTGCCAGAACCCCTGCGTGAACAAGCACGAGTCAGAGACCCGAACACGTTTGGCTATATGCCTGAGCCAAGCAGATGAAGAATACTCATCTTTTTTGCAGGTATACGAGCCGTACTTTTTAGAGTTGACGGGGTATGCAGGACCTCCATGGGAGCCGCCGTGGGAGCCGGCTTTCGTAAAGGTAGAGGGGTACGGGCTGCTGGAGTACGACTGACCGTTGGCTCGCCGTCTGAGGGGATTTGGTACGGATCATCGTCGAGTCGTTCTCTCTGGCTGACCCCTTTGCCGATGGGAAGTACTTGTTCAGCGTCACTCCCCAGAACCGGCGAGCCAGCTTCAGGAGCGTCACTCCCCAGAACCGGTGAGCCGGCTTCAGGGGCCGTTTGCTGTTGTCCTGACAAGACGTCAGTGGCGCCTTTTGATCGCAAAGGATAGCGCGTCGAACTAGCCGCTCGACCGTTCCACAAGGCTGTATCCAAACCGTCAGACCTCGTCCCCCGCCCATTGACGCGTCGTGACACGTTTGTATGTCCATCAGCTTTGTCTTCGTCGCTTGCCACGTCGAAAAACTCCATCTCTCCATCTTTATAAAGTTTCAATCGCCTCCAAATCGCATGTCCGTCCGCTGCGTCCTCATCACGCGGGTTCTCATCGCCACAATTCACTTCGAGGACGTACAGAGTCGACGTTTCGCGTATTAACTTGACCCAAACCTTGTCGCCTGTGGACCTGAGCCCAGTCAGATCGAACCTTTGAGGGCCCATGGGCATGGCGTACTCGTCTGACCAGTACGGACGTCCCGTATCGTCGCTAAACTTGCCCTACTCGTCTGACCAGTACGGACGTCCCGTGTTGTCGCTAACCTTGCCTTCAAGCGGCTTATCCAGGTGCAGGAGCTCTTGTAGCTCTATCCAGAAATCGTCTGGCTCAGTCGCCACGGTCATCTGTTCGTATCCGGACTCTACCTCGAGTTTACCAGGGGCCTTGAACTCTAGGACGGCCTTCTGTAAGGGTGCCTCCCCAACAACGATGGGAGCATCGGAACGCACTGGTAGCGTTGCCATGACGCCAACGACAGCCCTTCTGAATCCTGGCAAAGGATTCTTCGAGAAAGGTCTTGATGCGCCTCTCGCCACGGCATTCCTATTCATCTGTAAGCCGACATTTGCCATTACTATGGGGGGTGACTACATACTCATCTTCCTTCCGGTCGAGGATATCCACATCGAACTCCGCTTTGCGACCTCCTTCTCTCATCCTGATGCAGATGCTGTCAAGGCTCTTCAGGAAATAAGATTTAATATGAGGATTCGACAGTGCTGCACCATGGAGTCTTACGGTCCTCAATCTGTCAGTCTTCGCTTCATCAATGGACCAGAGTTCGGTCTCCAACAGCCTGAGCGCTTTGTCACAGCAGTCGTTAAGATCCTTTTGGAAGTCGCTCGCCCGAATCGTCTTGTCACCTCTCTTGAAGTCGCTACAGCCTTCAGGCATTTCATGGACATGGTATCTCAAGTCGCGGGAAATGTCTTTCCATGGGTTCGCATCAGTCACCCAACTCTGGCCCTTCCGCTCCCATAGATGCCACAATCTGCCTATGCCAACGCTGCGGCCCTCAGGTTTCCTAAGCAGAATTGCACGTCCTTCGAAGACGAGGTATGTGGCTACGTCCTACTGAATGCTAGTTCTGACACGGCATGCAAGTAGTGAG